TAGAATGCACAGATAACATTTGCATACATTATAAATATTTATTGTCATATAGAGACCAAGTTTTAAATAATGTTACCAAAATCAAATGTGTGGATTGTGATTATATATGTCCAAGAAGAGAAGCTTTACTTGGGCATGCCAATAGGGAACATTTAAATCACCATCCTTTTACTTGTGCACACTGCTCACAACAGTTTTATTCCCGAACTACTTTGAGACATCATTTAAATCAGTTTCACAAAGAAAAACATATCTGCGAGTTTTGTGATCAAGAATTTAGTACAACATTAACTTTGAATAATCATAAAGAAACATGCCAAAATATTGAAAGGCATCATAAATGCCATGAATGCACCAGTTCTTTTGTAGCTCTAGGAGAATTGGCTAATCATGTAAAGTTAAGACATGAAAAAGAATCTCTTAATTGCAACTTATGCAAAAGACAATTTTTGACCAATACTAAATTACGAGAACATATTTTCCGAGTCCATAGTGGTTTGCAAATGAAGAGGAAGAGAAGTATTTTAAATTGTCCAATATGCGAAGTGAAATATAAAACAAAAAAACAACTTTATGAACACATCAAAGATCATGGACCAGAATCTAGATTCCCTTGTAAAGATTGTGAAACAGATTTTGATAGCTTAAAAAAATTACATGCCCATGTGCGAATCCATTACGATGATGTCATTCAATGTATTGAGTGTAAAAAAGTACTGACTGCAACATTTTTTCCACACCATATGGTTTACTGCAAACCTGGTAGAGACGAAAAAGAAATCTTCACTTGTGAAACGTGTGGAAAAACGTACTACTCGGAAATACAGTTGAAATTACATCATAAAACCCATATGGAAAAGACACCATGCCCCATATGCGAAAAACCAACAAAGCCTGTGTACATGAAAAATCATATCAAATATATGCATAGCAAACAAAAAAAAATAAAGAAAATTCCTAAGCCAAAAACTAAATACTATATCAAATGTAACTGGTGCGAGCACATAGTGTCTAGGTATGGAGAATTAGAAACGCATGTAAATAGATTCCATTTAAAAATAAAGCCATATCAATGTGATTACTGTAGCAAATCGTTTTTTGGTAAAGAAAGGCTAAGGGATCATCTTATCACGCACACGACCACGAGGATGTGTTATTGTAGCGTGTGTAACAAAAAACTTGAAAATAAGGCTTGTTTGAAATTACACATGCGTAGGCACACTGGAGACACTCCTTACGCTTGTGAAATATGTGGTGAAAGATTCCGAACTTCCAGCATAATGAACACTCACAAAGTAAAAAAACATTCTGAAAAGACTATTGCTTGTCCGCTCTGCGAATCTATGTTCTATTTGACGAGAGAAATGAGAAGTCATTTCAAAAAAGTACATTGGAAACAAAAAGGTAAAAAATTTGATCCAAGAGATGTCAAAGAATTAAATCCTAAATTTTATTATTTGTTTGAAGATGGCAGAGTGCCTAAAGTAGAGGGTGAAGATTTGTATATATCATCTAAGTTTAATGAAAAATTCAGTTAGCCAATTTAATGGTTTATTGTATGTTAAATGGTCATCATTAAACTGTCTTTAAACTGGCGCAGGCAGCGGGTCCGCCTTAATAAGAATTTATCTTCATGGTGTGACATGAAAGCTACCGTACCCCAAGGTGGTGTATTATCTCCTTTTTTGTTTGCAATCTTTATTAATTATATTTCTCATAATCTTTCGTGTTGCTATCACTTTTATGCAGACGATCTCCAAATTTACTGCAAAGCACTGCTGTCTAGATTAAATGAGGCAAAAGTAAACACTAACTTAAACCTTCAACTCATTGCAGAATGGAGAAGAGCTTTTGATCTAAGCGTCAATCCTGCTTAAACCCAAACCATGATAGTAGGCAGCTCTAGATTTCTTTCCAGAATTGATACGCAGGTTCTTCCGAAAGTTGTTTTTGAAGGGGTTGACATTCCTTTTAGTCAAACGGTAAAAAAATTGGGGTTGGTAATGGATGGCCATCAGGATTGGGGGCCACTACTTCAATCTATCAGTCGCAAGTTATTTGCTTTTGCTGCTTCATTGAGGAGGCTGCGTAAGTTCTTACCAGTGGGTAAGAAGTTACGCGTGGTAGTGACCACTAAGGTTGCGTTAGCGCAATCTCTGCTGCTTCCTGCATGGATTCACTACATATTTTGTTGCCCTTTTTTAATTAAGATTATGTAATCATATTTTCTTTTTAATGTTATAGATAACATTTACACCCCCGTCTTCATAAATAGTTATCTCTCTCCATCCCATGGTTGCCTGGAAAAAATCGTTTTAAGCGATAAGGCCGCCAATTGTTACATTACTTTGTTAAACTGTTTTAAATTTGTAAATATAACTTGTGTAATGTTAACAATAAAGAATTTTCTGTTCTATTCTATATTGCCTATAACTTTTCGAATCACCCTATTTATTTATTTTTCGAATTTTAAAGATCTAAGCATACACTTGGTTAGACAGACAGATGGAAAGCGACTTTGTTTTAAACTGTATTGATTATTAATTTATGATTTTAGCAAATATAAGTTTCTCTATAGCTTACGGCGTACGTAATTTATTCATTTATGGTTTTGAATAATAATAAACCTGTCTTTTCATTGCCTTCCAATTCGCATCGGGCCAGCGTGGAGGGCCATGATATTTCTCCTTATCCACGAGGAAAGCCTGAGGCCCTGTGGGGTCGTAAAAGGACTGATGATGAGCTTATCTCAATAGCTTTAGAGGTTTGATTAACAGTGTTTTCATACAGCTTTTATAATAGTGGTCGCCCGCTGGTTGAAATCGGCAAAAAAAATATATTCTGCACTTTTCTATGCCATAAATGAAACAACTTTTAAACAGTTTCATAGCGTTACACATTTATTTTAAAGAATTTTTCAGTAGAAACTGTCATCATTATTTTGTTTTATACAAGTTAGATTTTGACTGCACGGTTGGTCGAGTGATTTAGTTGTCGCCATGCAACTGCCCACGGATCGAGTGTTGTGGTACGATCCCACAAAGGAAAACTAAACAACTGATTATCCACGAAAAAAACTTTCTTTGAATTATCAAAGCATCACGTACTTTTTTAAAGGGACGTAATAAACAATATTGAACTTAATATATATGTAATAGAAATCATTCTTGCTGATTATAAGTCATACATAAACAATCTAAGCACAAAATAAAATATGGGGAATCCCATAAGTCAGTATAGACGGTGTTATAACTTAAAGGAAGAGTATTCTTCGAATTCGCCTCAAAATAAGTAATGCAAAATTCCGTGCTTTATTCATAATCTTTTGATACCTACTCATCGATGACTTCGGTAATGCGCCCCAAAGTTGTAAATTTATTTCAATATTTTTTTTATTTTTCAACCGCTGACGCCGAGCAACGAGTCTCGAAATAGCTATATATATATTTTTTTATATAAATATGTGTAAAAAATTCTGCTCCAAATTCTATCTGAGAATCAATAATTCAAATGAAGCAGTACCTAATTATTCGAATCATGCAAATGATTCAATCAATACTTGCAACCAATGTTATTGTTTTGATAAACACGAATAATATTTTATTACGACTTTCATTTTTTTCTAAGAAAGAGGAAGTATTTAAAAAAATGATAGTTCCCGAAATCAAACTAGATGTCGCTACGGTACGTTCTTGGTTTCTCTATGACAACCTTTCCGGTTTTCTTTCGAGTTTAAAAGTAAATAAGTATAAAAAACTCATATTCTATTTGTAATTTTTCGTATTTGGATTGATGTCAAGTTTCGAACTTTTCAAATTACAGTTTTTTATATAATATGTTACTTAAAAGGAACGGAAATGACGTGTCTTTGGTCCATTCGTTTCCTGCAAAAATCAACTTTTGCTAGGGTCGCCATCTAGTGGAGGTGCTTTTTAGTGCTTTCGTTTTTTTTTTAATACTTCCTAATTATATTTTGAAAATAAACGTAAAAATTATAAAAAAAACATATTTTCAAAATCATATCGTAATGAGGGCTAACGCGTTTGAATTTACCACTAGAGGCGCTAGTGTAGCGTGAGGTCTTCAAAATGTCAAATATCATATATTGTCGGTAAACTACGCAAGTTTATTTTCATATAAACGAATTTTGACGCTTATTTTGGTTTACCTGAGATTCATAAAAGCAATTATGAATTACCGGTCAATGAATGTCAGTGATTTAAATCCGGAGCTAAGAAAAGTAATGCAAATTTTAGCGCAAGGAAAGAAGAGCTAAATCAGAGGTTAGTTAGTGTTTATTCAGCATATTCGATATTTTAATAAAATGTTTTATTTATATCTTATGATGTACCTATGATTAAGGGTATGTTCCGATATACACTGCGACCACTGAACAGTATGACGTCAATTTAGTATACTGGAAGCCCGTTCCTTTATAGTTAGTTATACTGGTGACTTTTTAAAACGGAACGCAGTCCAGTATACTGTTAATCCTATTTTTTGGCGCCATTTTCAAATTTGTTAATGCAAGGTGAATATAAATAAATATTCCCTCTTTTCAAAAGAAAATATTATAAAATTGTGTATAAAAAAATTATTTATCAATTAAATCCATCTTATAATAAACGTAAGTATTTTTTTTCTTTGTTTATTTAGAAACATCATTTTCTGATTCTGTTTCGACTGATCACGTGATCAAAAGCACTGCGAGCACCTTACCTCGAAATCTCCAGTGCTCTCACAGTACTGTGAGCACTGGAGATTTCGAGGTAAGGTGCTATATTTTCTTTTGTACAAATATGGCGGCAATTTATGACGTCATAAATTTCCCTAAGGTACTGTAGCAGTGTACTGGCAGTCCATATTGGAACGGATTTTTCAGCAGTAAGACCACTGCGCAGTGCTCGCAGTGTATATCGGAACATACTCTTGTTAAACCATGAAGGAAGCATAGAGTAGAAACATAGAGTACTGTCATGTCAAGTTTTCATTCATCTCTCGTCGAGTTGAACTTGTCAAATTCTCATACGCGTCGGTAATGTGTTAGAAGACGATCGTTAATCGTTGCAATTATTTGTTTTGTAAATGTGGTGCATTCATGTGATAATGAGAAAACACATTCTAGACTATATAATTATTAAGTGATTAATGTGTTCTAACTCCAGTGCCCAGTTATAAATTTGTTTTTTGTATGTCATTGGCCCGACAATATGGCGGCCCCACGACACAAATCACAACAGAAAAATATATCTTCGATATTTTCGAAGTTACACGGTGCTTTCTCGGACGCTGTTTGTCCTACAAAGCTAGCAACTGACAAGAGAACATTAGACAAAACATGGAAATTAATGGACAAAGTGGTGAAATTGTGTCAACATCATAAAATGAATCTAAAAAACAGTCCACCTTTTATTCTGGATATTTTACCGGATACATATCAACGATTGCGTGTTATTTACTCTAAATATGAAGATAATATGCAGGCTTTGAACAGTAACGAACATTTTAATATATTTATTATTAATTTGATTAGGAAATGCAAGCAGGCTATAAAGTTGTTTAAAGAAGGAAAGGAAAAAATGTTTGATGAAAATTCTCACTACAGGCGTAATTTGACAAAGTTGAGCTTAGTTTTTAGCCACATGCTAAGTGAATTGAAGGCTATGTTTCCGAATGGGACTTTTGCTGGTGACCAGTTCCGTATAACGAAGAGTGATGCTGCAGAATTCTGGAAAACTAATTTTGGAAATAGGTAAGAGTCTTAAAACAACAAAATAACTTCTGTGCTGGATTGTTTTTTAAGATGTCGCCATCGTGAATTGGTTGAAATTGAAAATTATGTTTTCTGTATTACCATGGATTAGGGTATTATAATTTCTTTTTAGTTTCTGAATTCTATAATGTAAAAGATTTTAACTACTTTGGGGATCTGAATGCCTTAGGGGCGCGTCCTGGAGGGTCCTGGTCTGTCATGGCTTCCCCGATCTCATCTCCCATGAGAGTGTACATAATAGGGGTTTAGGTGGGTATGCCTCTGGGAACTCCGGGGCAGCTCACCTGCCGAGTGGGTTCACTTAGGAGAGTCACACACCCCCTGTTGCTTGTCAGGTAACAGGCATAGTGCCATAAGCATTTCCTCAATGATAAAAAAAGGGATCTGAATGTTTTGTTTTAATGTAAATTTTTTTAATGTATTAGTGAAGAAGTCTGGAAAAATGACATAATTCCACAAGAAGGTATTATATTGTTTTAAATACACTGGATGAAAGTAAGAAATATAAATATTTAAAGTTTAATTTAATGACAACTTTAAACTTTAATTTGTATGGACGTTTGTATAACTGGGTGTATGCACCATGATGTAGCTACCCTTGGGTGAAGTAATTTTTAAAATCAGTTTACTAGTTTATGTTAAACTAAGAACCAATTTTGCTACAGAATACATCAAGTGCATTTTGAAACAAGTCCATATTTGAAAGTAGGTAGTCAATAATAGCAGTAAGAGTCAGTATTTAAAAATAAATTGACAATATCTTCAAGTTAAGAAGATGATAAACATTGTACATTTGCCATGTTGATTGATCGCAATTCCATTTGCAACTAAGCATACTTATAGGAATTTTAAAATCATTTTTGTGTTGATTATAATACTACTTTCTTACCCGAGTGGTTTGCATGTCGGTTTTAAGGTGTTTCCCATTGGTTTCGTGTCGGGTGTCAGTTTTAAGGTGATTGGTTAATCTCAGGTCTGGGTGTTGTAGTACCTTCGTTGTCTCAGATACTCCATAATACAGGGGCTAGCTACTCACTTTGGAATCTGAGCAAGGTATATGATGTCTAATATTTATTTATTTAATAGTCCATTTATTGAACAAGACCATTTAACATTTATTTTATTTTTATTTTGTCATGTTATTACTAATAGGAGTGGAATAGCAAAAAAATGTTCCAAAAATAATGTATCTACCTACCCTTACTGGTAATTTTTTTACTATCTCATGTAGTGTCTTATTTTCATGTTGTAGTCTTTTAAGACTATTTTTTATAATTTTGCATAGTTATATTGTTTAACAAACAAATTACAAAATGGCACCAATAATTGGTTATGGAGATGGTGTAGGACATTTTTCATTTTACACTTTTTTTACCAATAAAAACTATTAAAACAGTCAGTAAATGATCAGTATTTTTAAATGCTCAACTAGTTTCAGCCCCAGTAATTGATATCTATAACTTTGATGACAAATAACAATATACAAGCCTGTCTTAGTGCCTTTTCCATAATGTCATTATTAAGTTACTAACTTTCTTTGTTTTGAAGTGGGGTAATCTTCGAAAATATTGATCCAATCATGATAATTCTTTCATCTACGTGAATTTCATCATATGCGGGTGACATAAGCTGTAATTAACGTGAGAAACGTTGTGAACAAACAGCAAATGGTTCCATAATATCTGGATATAAAAACCTCCGACAACCACAGCACTGATCTGCATTTATGGAGCTTATTTTACTTTCAAATCATTCCACATACAGCAATTTCATAAATTTTAAATCAAAATATGTACCTAAATCATCATTATATTGATAGACAGTGTATAATTAGATAACATGGTTTCATGTGGTGGCAGTGCAAAAGTAAAACAATGTGACATTGTCACATTATTTTCTATTCTCACCACTTCCTTATTGACAGCAGGTCTTTCTCGTGGGAACGTTGACTGTGTAATTGCGGGTTTGTTTGCACGACTGAAGCTATTAGAATGACGCTGCGGATTGCTTTTTTGCAGCTGTTGGGAATTGTGTTGTTTTTATGGATTTAGCGCGCGAATAGCTAACGTAATCCTTCCCTGGTGAGCACGACGAAAAAATCGATCGGCGTAAATTATTGCGCCGCTAAAGAACAGTTTGAATAGCGCTGGTTGTTGAGTAAATGTAACGTGATTCTTTATTCAAAACTTATCGTGCAGTTATTGAAAGGATCATCTTACCTCGCTTTCTTTATTGCTATCTAGTATTGGAGTCATCAATGAACCAAGCAAACATAGTCTCGTGTTTCCGAAACATGTCCCACTTACATAGAAGTCGTATAAGGTTGCATGTTTATGATGTCTCAAGCTGGTTCCTGAGTTACCTTTACCTATCATAGGTACCTAGGTACTGTGATAAATTAAGAGTTTATAATAAAAATTTTCGGATAACAGAGCGAGTAGTACCAGGGCTAGCCATTACATTAGCCATAAACCATTTTACAAATATCTTTTAATAAAGATTGTAAAGATTTTCAAATATATTTGCTCGGAGAGCAATTCTGTCGTGTGGTTCGTATGCTGGTTTCAAGGTGTCGTCATTTTTCAAGTGTCTGGTTCGATTCCCGGTTGGATCAATGTAGAAAATTAACTTTTATTTATTATCTTTGTTCTGAATGTTGTGATACTTTTGTGGTCTAAGATACTCCATAATACGGGAATTTAGTCATTCATGTCGGAATCTGAGCAATGTATGTGATTTCATTAATTTTCCAGATATGATTTCTAATTATTATACAGATTTATGAATGAAATAACAACATTTATTGACGTTGTTATTCACAATGTTATCTATTGAATTCCACAATCCTTATCTTATCGTATCCATTGTCGAGTTTTACAATATACCTACGGAAATGGCTTATACTGCATTTTTGTTCTGCGTCACATTATAGATTAATGAAAAAGAAATTGACACAATCGATCTTTGTGATAAACCCACATTGGATAGAGTTTTATTTTTCTTTTATTAGTATTTAATAGAATCGGTTGTTATTTTGCGGATGTCCATTACTGTAACTGTCAAACTTGTGATATTTAGCAAGTTCCACACCCAGTCAGTATCCGCAAGACTTGTTGTGTACCGCCCGCACACAAATTTCGTAAAATCACCATTCTATATGTGTTTCCCGAGAATGCTTCGTGGAGGGGCAAAACACGTGTAGATAATCCCAGTGCGGATTGGTAGGTGTTAACTACTGCAGATGCAGTCTGGACTAACGACTTAACGTGCCTTCCGAAGCACGGAGAAGCCCGAAATATTAAATTTGTGGTCACCCATCCTATGACTGCCCTTGCGAAAGTTACTTACAAATTACAATCGTATCGCAGACCAAGTGCGCTAACCACTGCTCCATCGAGCTCCATAATAACTAACAACGCCATTGAAAAGTTTTTATTAAAGCTTTCCATGCAACTATCAATGTCATTTCTGCCATGATATTTAGGGGGAAACAACTAATTCAATATCTTCGTTAATATTGAGCATGTTTTCAAGAACATGTGGGAAAATAGAATTAACATTTTCTTAATAAAATATTAAATTTGTTTATATTTTGAGTAGAATATATTCCGGCTACTCAAAATATGGAGTGTTTCAAAATAAACAGGTGTAATAAACTTAAATATAATATTTAAACGGTGTCTTTTTAAGATCCTTAGGTTTTATATAAATATTTTTTAATACTCCTTTTAAATTGTTTTGGTGACGATCTATCTGTCTGCTACTTTCATTAGTCCTAAACACACACTCGAGATAAATCAGAATATTTATCAGTGCCAATTCGACATTCAAAACGTTGCGATGCCGTTTACCAACCCGGTTCAGACAATTTCAAAGAGGAAACACGGTAAATCCCCCCTATTAAATATTTATTTGAAGTCAGATAACTGCCTGGATCGTATTTCCGTTTAACGTTATCGAACTTTAATTGCGTTCGAAATTTGAATTTCTACTCAAATTGTAAATGGAATATCTTTTTATTTTGGCAGTCGTTAAAATCTTGTCACATGTTTTTTTAGGATTCCTTTTTAAGGCCTCTTATAAAATTCTGCTGTTTGTTTGTCTGTTCATCAGAAGGTAGAATGTTTATATTTTGAAATGCAATAGGGTACACATGAAATTACATGGTATAAATGCCACAATAGCCACAATTAAAACAAATTATAGGAAACCAACAAGTAAATTTCTAAAGCAGGTTGGTGCATATTGAAAAAAAAAAAAATTTTACATTCCTGTTCTTGCGTGCTATATTTGGAAACTTGAAATTTTCACAGAAAACATATTTCATAAAGGTAAACTTCCTTTTATTCGATATCTTACCAAATAATAATTTAATATTCTGGTGTGGTGCCATCATGTGCAAGTGCACCTTGCCTTTGGTAATTTTTTATTATATTTATTCAGAGGTTGTCGACCTCGTTACAACAGCATACGTATGAAAATGACAATTTCTTTTAACCCCAGTACCATCGACAGACTTTTTATAACGACAGCTATCAGCTGGCATTTTGCACACCTTTGTTTAAGCAAGAAATAGCACGTGACATTAAATAAGCGTTAATGATGAGTGTCCTTAGTGTACCTTTGGTATGATCACTGTACTCTTTGTTAGAAATTAAATTAATAAAAAATGGAACGAAAGAGAAATGTGAGACGGTAATGGTTTTTGTTGATTCGATATATTTTTAAGAGTTTAAAATATGAGATAAAATCGATGGTTCTATGTAATATTTTAAACTTAGTTGCCTTGAACACTATAAAAGGGTTTAGCCGGATACGTATGACGAGTCGGCCCCCAAATGGGAATCGATATTGAAACTTATGTTTTAATATAGACTTGATGTTCAAACACGATTTATGTACTTTTCGCGACCGACTTCCGCTTTGACCTTGAGATAGAGAGCAAAATATCCGTATGCTTGACTATTACTGAATGTGAT